GGCCTGACTGTTAAACTGACAAAGGGACACGAACCAGCCATTGGCATCTCTCTGAACAGCCTATCAAAACTGGCCCCCCACACATGTTTCCGTGGCAACTGACCTTATTCTTTGTTTTATTAGCACATCAAAAAGGAAAACCCTTGTCTCACCTAGGTGTGACACAATCCAGGACAGCCGAACTTTGAATGGCTAAGGACTGCAGTCTCCAGACTCAAAGCATTTAATTAAGTTTAATTAAATCTTTAGTTACCTGATTACGTTTGCCTCTATTTGAGTAGTTATGTTAACTGTTGCTGCTATCCGTTGTTGATATTAGTGCTGAAAAGAAGTTACTTGTGCAGTGTTTTTATTTTCAGCAAGACACTCCTTCATCTAATGTAATCAATGCTTGTTCATAATACTTTCCTACAAAATGTCTTTAGAAATGATGACAAAGGAATGTTTTACTATACTCTTAATCGCCAGCTTGAAGTTCCTAAGGAGAGACGATCTTTGATTTAATCCAAGCTTTCCTCATGTAACCTGAGCTCCCCCAAGTGGACGAAATAAGTATTACATGCCCTCGTTGGAAATGCCGTTAAATGTATAAATATCCTGACCAATAATGTGACAATTGTTTCCTGTTACCAAATGCCTAGAACAGTACAACCGTTCGACCATTGAGGTTCGATTGTGGAAAATCTTTGATTATAATACGTGCAAATAGATTTCTTTTAGACATTAAGTTTAGAGAGGCAGTCCCTTGGGAAACCTGAGACGCCCCCTGGGGAACCACGCCCCAGGCAACAAAAGAGCGACAAGCGACCTCTCGCTCTTCTCTTCGCTGTTGGCTCTCTTACACTCTGCTCGCTGGACGCTTCGGCACGCGTGTGGCGTGCTTCGCCAGGCAACGCCCAGACTCGGCCAGCGAAACAAACAGGCCTTTTGTTTCGCTTGAAGCTACACACCTGAAGTGCCGCGTCATCGATCTGCCCTTCAGTTTGTTTTATTTTCTTCATTTCTTTTGTTTGTTAAAGTTATGAGTCCGTTAATTTACACTGGACTAATTCAGCAACGACCAAGTTCCATTTTAAGCCTTTTTCGTCGAGCCAACTTCACCGAGGTCAGACCAAGCCACGTGGTCTCGCTAGCTACAACGAAGGAAACCTGAAAACAGCCGAATTGCCAGACGGAGGAGGCGTTTTCAATCAGACACGGAGAACCCCGGAGAATCCCTAGCAAAAAGCCAGGATCGGCAGCTAGCGTGGGACCCGTGCAACAGGCCAAAAGCAGGCTGTCGACAAGCAGTAAGACTTAACACACGTTCTGTGATCAGATGTCCATTTTAACTCCTAAATTATAGCATTAGTTTACTTTCATTAGCTCTTCTATGCCGTATGAGTCAAATGCTTCCCACAATCGAACCTCCAGGCTCATTGTTCAGCAAATGTTTATGTTCCCTGTATCCAACCATCTTTTTATCACCTTAGTTAGAGAATAAATTCACTGTAATATAATCAAGAGCTGTGTGTGTTTCCTATTTCTAGTTCCTGCCAAGAGAATTGACCCTTTAGATATGAGACTGACTGACTGATTTAAGATAATTGAGCGATTATTAACTAACTGATCACTAGTAATAATTGTATAATTATTCAAAACTACCTAGAGGTCCAGAGACTCTAGGATTATAACAACTCCGGTGGTGCCCTGAAACGAGGAAAATTTTGATTTTATGAATCTTCAATTATGAATTCATAATTGGGTATCAATTCTCATAAATTTATTAAACTAAAAATGTTTAGGTCTGCTACACTGTATATACCTGTTTGGTCCATGAACTTCATTTCAGTGGAACTTTCTGTTGCTGCAGCAGAAACGTTTATTAAAAGATGTATTTTTTGGAAGCAGTGTTCATTTTATTGTCTTGACTGTAGCATATGCCTAAAACAACCTTAAATTTAATTTAAAAGCCGATAGCTAAATGAGGCATTGTGTAATTTTGCGATCTGTAATCAGAATAGTCGATTATTTGACTATTAAAATAGTCGTTACTTGCAGCCCTAGAAATAATCAGAAGCTACTTTATACATGTGGTGGATCAAAAGCTTCACATCTTGTCTGACTTTGCTCCTCAGTCCCTCTCTTCAGCCACACTCTCCTCCCTCTGCATTACTCTCTCCATCAGGACATCTTCTTTCCATTAACCTCTCACACCTGCCACCTTCATGCACGGCAGCTCATTGAACGGCATCAGTCTCGCTGTTTCATCTGTGTTTGCGTCCAGTCCACATCGCCTCAGCAAACCCACCCTGACACATCTTGTCTCATGATGCCGAGTATGAGCGATTCACAGGTTATCAATGTGTCAGTTATTTTTCTGTTTTACCATGTTAATAAAAGCAAAATAGTGAGAAGAATGAAGTGTATAATTCAGTACAAGAAAACTGAAAACAAAAGTCAGCGGATGTTTGTCTATCGTCTTAAATTAAGATATAGAGGGGAGATGTTTAGATAAATACAGAAAGAATAAAGTGGAATTGTGAGATTTAAAACTAAAAACAAACAAATAGGTTTGTGGAAACAAATCAATATCAATGAATAATGAACCTCTTTTGTCCTGGTATCCAGCTGATACTGCAGCTTCTTCTTATTGTCCTCACTCCTCTGCTTCTCCTGTTGGAGCTTCTCAACCTGAGGAGAGAGAAGATAAAGACAGAAGATGAGAGAACTTTCCTCTTATTAAAGTATGTGAGTTAAGAAAAGTCTGTCTCAGTGTTTTTCTTCATATCAGCTGGTTAAAGGGTTTCTGTCACTGAAAACACATGATGAGGATTCAACATTATTTACTCTGTGTGCTGCTGACTGTTACTTGTTCTCCAGCTAACACACACACACGAGCTGTGTTTCCATCAAGGTTTTTATATCTGCATTGTAAAGTATCACATTAGAAAAGGTTGATGGACACAGCAAAATTTTTTTTGCTCGCTTGAGGTGGTTGTTGCCTTAGTCAAAAAAAGAGTTACTGCACTAAATGAGAGATGGAAACACTTTTACAGAATAAGTTCTGACGTAGTGAAAATGTGACTCACGACTTGCTGGATATTCTCATAACACACAGAGACAAGGGAGGGGAGTACCATGATGACATAAAGTGACAAATAAAATTGTGCAAATTAACTGAATGTTAAATTAATTCAACAATTAAAATTTGTTTATTAATTATAACAATTATTGAGTATTTAAACACACCTTTTCTGTTCTCTTCCCTCTGACCAGATCAAATAAAACAGTAACTGTGAGATTTAAAACTAAAAACAAACAAAATATGTTTGTGGAAACAAATCAATATCAATGAAAGATGAACCTCTTTTGTCCTGGTATCCAGCTGATACTGCAGCAGCTTCTTGTCGTCCTCACTCCTCTGCTTCTCCTGTTTGAGCTTCTCAACCTGAGGAGAGAGAAGATAAAGACAGAAGATGAGAGAACTTTTCTCTTATTAAAGTATGTGAGTTAAGAAAAGTCTGTCTCAGTGTTTTTCTTCATCTCAGCTGGTTAAAGGGTTTCTGTCACTGAAAACACACGATGAGGATTCAACATTATTTACTCTGTGTGCTGCTGACTGTTGCTTGTTCTCCAGCTAACACACACACACAAGCTGTGTTTCCATCAAGGTTTTTGAAATATCACATTAAAAAAGGTTGATGGAAAAGGCAAAACTTGAAAAAACGTATTTTAATTTCACAAAGAAAGTTTTTACGCTCTCTTCATGATTAAGAAACATGTTGGTGTTTAAAAAAAGAAAACAACAGACTACTAGCAGGGCTGCCCTTCATATCGACATATCACAACTACCTGTCCAGAGTTGATTCTGTTATAAAAAGTTTGTCATGTCAGTTGTATGAAATATTTGTGTGCGTTTGTAGGGGAATAATCTGGAAAATAAATACCTGTCTACTCAATTCATATCTCCAGTTACTCAGAGCTACTGCAGAGCTTCATGATGATAAACATAAATCAAGTCAGAGCTCTGAGGAAAAACAAACACTCCAAAAGTGACACTAAGTTTTCAACACTATTTACTTTTAAAGAAGCGAAGTGTCAGTTTAGCTGAAAACATATTGTAAAGTCAGTGGTGAGATGACGTTCCTCACCAACTTGCTGACAAAGATGATGCCTGCGCTGTCTGACCCGTCTAATTAACTGTGCATCGTCAAATAATTCAGAAACATTCTTCCTCTCCTGAAAGATTTGCGCATGTCTCCACAGCGCCATCACAAGCCCTACTGGCAGCTCCTAACCACCTGAGAGACCTCTGGAGCCGTCTTAAATAACCGGGAGAGTTAGAGTGACTCTCAGCTTTAAGAAATTTCATACTTGCTTTAATTCTTCAGTTTGAAAGTAGGAGTAAATTTCGTGAATTCTGAGCACTTAAGACTAAAATGGCACTTTGAGAAGTTTGATAAATACGGGCCCTGATTATTTACTTTGTGTGCTGCTGACTGTTGCTTGTTCTCCAGCTAACACACACACGAGCTGTGTTTCAAAGTTTTTTACACGCCTTCTGAAGTATCACATTAGAAAATGTTGACGGACACAGCAAAATAAAAAATAAAGATTTCTTTAATTTCACAAAAAAAATTTTACGCTCGCTTGAGGTGGTTGTTGTCAGAAGAGTTACTGCACTAAATGAGAGATGGAAACACTTTTACAGAATAAGTTCTGACGTAGTGAAAATGTGACTCACGACTTGCTGGATATTCTCATAACGCACAGAGACAAGGGAGAGGAGTACCATGATGACATAAAGTGACAAATCAAATAGTGCAAATTAATTGAATGTTGAATTAATTCAACAATTAAAACTTGTTTATTAATTATTACAATTATTGAGTATTTAAGCACACATTTTCTGTTCTCTTCCCTCTGACCAGATAAAATAAAACAGCAACTGTGAGATTTAAAACTAAAAACAAGCAAATAGGTTTGTGGAAACAAATCAATATCAATGAAAGATGAACCTCTTTTGTCCTGGTATCCAGCTCCTTCTGCAGCTTCTTATTGTCGTCCTCACTCCTCTGCTTCTCCTGTTTGAGCTTCTGGACTTCAGCTGTCAGACGTTCCACCTAAGAGGAGAGAGAAGATAAAGACAGAAGATGAGAGAACTTTCCTCTTATTAAAGTATGTGAGTTAAGAAAAGTCTGTTTCAGTGTTTTTCTTCATCTCAGCTGGTTAAAGGGTTTCTGTCAGTGAAAACACATGATGAGGATTCAACATTATTTACTCTGTGTGCTGCTGACTGTTACTTGTTCTCCAGCTAACACACACACACGAGCTGTGTTTCCATCAAGGTTTTAATATGCACCTTTTGAAATATCACACTAGAAAAGGTTGAAGGAAACATTTGAAAAAACATATTTAATTTCACAAAGTTTTTATGCTCGCTTGAGGTCGTTGCCTTAGTCAGAAAAGAGTTACTGCACTAAATGAGAGATGGAAACACTTTTACAGAATACTAGGCCTATGTGTCAAAACCAGAGACTGGATTTCTTTATTTTTCTGTATTTCTTAATTCTAGAGAATATAAGGAATATTATAAGTTAGTTCTGTAATACGTTAATATTTTGCATTAAACACTTAATTTCCTGCATTCTGTTGATACATTTCTGCACCGATTTATGGAGGGAATGATTTTATCTTGGCTATGGCAACGGAATCACAAAACTCAGGCAGCAGGTAACTATTTAAAACGTAAAATATACCAGAATATAGTTCAGTAGGTGTATGCATGGCTTCCAAGAATTCTGTATTTCTTTTTCTTTCATGATTTTGTCTTCCCTCTTGGTTGTGTCTTTGTTTGGGGAAGTTCCTCTTTGTGTGGCACCTTTTCACCTCAAGGATAAATTAATTCATTTTAAGTCAGTTAGAAACTCCTGGACTGGAGATATGTGGTATAGATGCAAAAAGTGTTGAACATTCAACACTTTTTGCATCTATACCACATATCTGTCCAATCTGGCATCTCCAGAAAGATTTCTATGAGAATAACGTCATCATTTAATAACAATTCACAATATTTTTCAAAATCTCCCCGGCCTTTAATCAGACAGACACAGAACCCGTTTGGGACTGTAGGCTATAGATGAGACCTGTGCAAAACAAAACTAACTGAAAACACAAATCCACACACGTCAACTTCAGCAGCTCTGTGCTGCTCACATTAACAACAGAGCAAGGCTGTACTTCAGATTATACATTTTTATATTGAAAAACTCGACCAGCTACGTAAGTCGATCACAAACGAGAGAGAGCAGGTTTGCTTGATTCCTGTCCCAGCGTCCGTCGGTGTCGCATCAGCTGGGTGGAGTATAATCGTGCTATCAGTTATAGGTTACATACATTTTTCCAATGCGTGAGAAAATTGATGTATGGCGTGAGGGAGTGTGAAAAGTGTCAATTGCGTGAGTCTCACGCTCAATGTGAGAGAGTTGGCAGCTCTCAATTCTGACAGAGCGAAAATGTAACTCACGACTTTGTTGGGCCTCCGGCCTCTTGCCACCCTACAGGCCTGACCCCGGCCTGCTGAATTTCCAAAACCCCGAATTGGAGTTATTTTCAAACAAAGGACAGTAAAAGAGGCGTCAAAGCCCGTTTCACACCTAGGTGTGAAATAGTGAGTCGGACATAAAAGTAGAGCCACTATTGACTGCGCTTGTAATCCTGCAGGTCACCCTGGTAACGCTGCTGGTGCGCCCCCCTCAGGTAGCATGTAGGCCACATTAGGTGCGTTTGATTTAAGTTTCAGATTTGTGAAACGTTTATTCAATTTGTGAAAATGAAACATTTTTTACATCCAGTAAAGACAGGTAGAACTACTTGCAACATCACTTCCTTCCTCGGAAACGCTGTACCATAACAGTCGGAAAAAAACGCTACGCCTCAAAACGTCCGCTAGCGCTTCCTGCTGGGTGTTTTCAGCTGGCAAAAAACACTTTGGTGGACACGGGCCCTAACTGTTTAAACTGTTGCTGTCTTGTGTTTCCCTGTTGAAATAGTAAACTCTGTAATTATCTTGCGTTTTGAGACTGAGTCTGTCAAATTCCAGAGCCTTCATTATGCAAATAAATAAGAACATATTTAACCCAGTTAAACACTACTGTAATGGTATGTAACTGAGTACGTTTTGTACTTTTATTGTAGTATATTCACAGTGTGGTACTTTGACTTAGGTAAAGGATCTGAATAATTATTTCACCTCTGATTAAATTTATGATGTGTTTATATATTATGTATTTACTATATACACTAACTACAGGCATCAACAGAGAGATTGCAGAACCTCCACTGTCCGTTACATCTAAATAAAACCCAATATTAAGACATTAATGCATCGATTCTGCTCATTTTTTAGGTACATAGTTTGGTTTAATATGGTTTCACTCTGTAACAAACTACAAAAAATACATGGCACCACAAATAAGGGCTGCAAGTAACGACTATTTTGATAGTCGGTGATGGCGTAATGGATAAGGCATATGACTTTTGTGTGAGAGACCTGGGTTCAATCCCCCACTGTGACCCATCCACCATTGTGTCCCTGAGCAAGACACTTAACCCCTTGTTGCTTCAGAGGCGTGCGACCTCTGACATGTATAGCAATTGTAAGTCGCTTTGGATTAAAGTGTCAGATAAATGAATAAATATAAATGTAAGAAGTGTTGTTTGTAGTTATTGAATATTGTGACATCAGTTGGTTGTGACGGCCAGTGTATGGACTCACTCTTCAAACTCACCTATCATTGAATGATAATAATTGATTATTGACAGTTTATAGGTGAACAAATTCTTTAGACTGATTTCATATTTGGTTATTGGTCTGATTCCACGGTGGTGCCACGCATTTATTAATGACAATAAATACATTTTGATATTAAAAATTTCTACAATATCTCTGATATTGTTAGATCCCGAGTTACCCCTGTTCAGGAGGTACTGGACCAGCTCTCCGTCGTAAAGGGTCCGATCCTCTAGGCCTATGGGTATTACCCTATTAGGTATAACTGAGGACAGTTTAAGCTGGTGTCGAAAAGATTCGCCTAGCTTCTAACTGTCTTCTTCCGAACGCCTACACTGCTTACTCTGAAATGGCACCTGACTGAATAGCCCTAGAGCCAAATACAACCCCAGCCACGCCCGTTAACGACAGCTCTCTTCTCATTGATCAGTTCGCTTGGTATAGTTGCTAGGATTGTGTTTAGTGGCCAGGAAAATATGTCGTTGGCTAAAGCAACCTATAAGAACCTTAAAGATGTTAAACACACTTTACCTAATTAATTACTGCCTTTGTGAAGAAATAAATTCAATGTCTACTACTGGTACTTTAAATGCAGTCATTATATATTGTATTGCAAAATTAAGCAAGGGCAAGCATACAACTTAAAACTGATTAAAACCTAAATAAACTGATAAAATCTCTAAAATTCAAAACCTGATTGTGATAGCTGAGCTCTTTTTGGAGAGAAAGGAAGGGGAAGGAGGTGTCCTGGCCAAGGAGTTCTTTCCCTCTTCTGCTGGGCTGGTGACCCTGGTGGAAACCTGAGGCTTTGTCCAAAGCCCTCAAATTGTCTTCAAAAGTCTTCAGTCTTCGTTGCAGTTGAGTGAGAGAAAATCTTCAGAGTCCAATGATTCTTCAGTTGGTTTGGATGTTGTGGTTACCCTCTGTAGCTCGATCTCTTGGAGTCCCCTGAAGAATCTCTGAAGTGTTCTCTAGTTCTTTCCTGCTCAAATCCCCGTCTCTTGTCTTGGGCTCTTGGTCCGGTGCAGTGATGGTCTTGCTCCGAGTCCGATGCCTCTGAGGTCTGCCGAGGAATAACCCCGATCTCTCTCTGACTCCTCTTTATATATCCTACTCCGTAGCTGAGTTTCTTTGTCGAATCAGCCACCACCCTTTTCCTGTCTATAGCTTGTTCATCCTTAAATTCAGCCAGAGATGTCCTTATTTGGCCATTTCATTTCCCCCTGCTGACCCTTCTCCCCCAATGACTCATAGTCTTGATGTCTTCACCTAAATTATGTGACCATTTGCACAGTTATTTAACCGTTACCCTAATTCTTCTTACTTTAACCATATTATGTATTTCACAATCGGAATATCAATTAAATTGATTAATCTTCAATATCAATGAGATATCCTGATTTTCAATCATCATATCATGTTTAATACCAAATATCTTTCCTTTAATCATTATTCAATATATTGCTTATATCTTTGTTAAGCTCTGTGTTTTGCAGATGGAAGGATGTTGCACTTCCCTTTTCTCACTCACTGTTGTTAATAAAGGAAGAAAGGCTCCAGTTTTCTTCTTTGAGACCTGATAGCAAGAGCGTTGGGATCTCAACTTATTTGACAATATTCTGCCAATCACCAAACCTGATCCTACGTGACCCCAACGACTTGCTGGATATTCTAATAATGTGCGGAGACAAGGGAGGGGAGTACCATGACAACATAAAGGGACAAATAAAATTGTGCATATGAATTGAATGTTGAATTAATTCAACAATTAAAACTTGTTTATTCATAATTACAATTATTTTAAGTTTAATAACTCGGTTCAGGAACAAAGACTTCGCCTCAAACACATCTGATTTTAGCACACAAAGTATTTAAGCACACCTTTTCTGTTCTCTTCCCTCTGACCAGATAAAATAAAACAGAAACTGTGAGATTTAAAACTAAAAACAAACAAATAAGTTTTTGGAAACAAATCTATCAATGAAAGATGAACCTTGTTTGTCCTGGTCTCCAGCTCATTTTTCAGCTCGTTCTCACTCCTCTGCTTCTCCTGTTTGAGCTCCTGGACTCCAGCTTTCAGTCTGTCCACCTAAGAGGAGAGAGAAGATAAAGACAGAAGATGAGAGAAATTTTCTCTTATTAATGTATGTGAGTTATAAACAATAAAACATGACAGAAAGATACTCCATGGTCTGACGTATGCAGCATTTTTAACTGTTCATGTTAATGAAAAGCAGCAGGTTTCTAGTTTTAGAGATGGAGCAAATTCACAGTTCTTTTGCACCTTTAGCCACTGAGAGGCAGCAGAAACAAGTTGTGAACACAATATTAAAGGTGATGTAGTGAATTTTTATTTTTTATTTGAAGATCATCATGTTCTATTTTTGGAAGTGACAAATTTGAAGGTGAACTGAAAACAAGAAAGAAGGTGGCTTGAAATAAATCTTTTGTGGCGACAATACTAACCTCCTCCTCCAGGGTCTGAACTCTGCTCTCTGCTTCCTCCCTCCTCTGCTGCTCATCCTGGAACTTCTGCCTGGTAACGATTGTCCACTTAAACTGAGAGGAAACATTAGATATTGGAGACAAGATGAGAGACGTTTCTGATTAGTGAACACCAACCCAAACTGACACTTTTAAATTCGTAGGAACACACATTAGCAACAACCTGAAACTTGACAACTAACATTGAACACAATCATTTTAAAAGCTCAACAAAGACTTTACTTCCCTCAGGCAGCTTAAAAAAATACTTCAACTCAATAAAGATGAAGATTTGTGACCAAAATGCAGTTTCGTTAAATGCTGCACACCTTTGTCCATGTAAGTTTGTCTTGTGGAGTTTACTCTTATTTCTGTATGAGGAAACCTTTGAGTGTATTCATTTTATTTCTACATGACCACTTACCAGAGGGAAGGAAGGCTGAACTGGAGCAACTCTGCTTCTTTTCAGCTGGGAAGAAAAAGAGATTAAAGGAGCCATGTTCTTTTATTAACATATTTAAATGGTTTATTATCTAAACCATTTCAAATATTTGACCTTAAAGGTTCTCTGAAGTTTTAAACTTCTAGTAGTCCTTTGAAGCTTTTTGTCTATGAATGAGTTCTAGTTTTGTTGATCTTGAGCACGAGGATGCACATGATCACATGTATGTGGGTAACAGATACATGTTCCTGCCAGTCTTTTCATGCTATTCACTGATCTACTGGTGGCTGTAAAACGCCAAGATATGCAGAAACACACCAGCAAAGGCAGGAAGAAGAAGAAGAAGAAGACTGCTGTAGTAAACATGGATGTAAACAATTTTGGATTTAAAACACTTGATTGAAATTAAATTTAGACTTCAAACACACACGATGTGTTTTGGTGAGTAACACTGAATGTAAATATAACTTCTGTTTATTCACCAGAAAACTCCACAGAGCACCTTCAGGTTTAAGGTCTGAATGTTCAACAATGATGATGATGAGTGTTGCTGAATGTCTGAGCATCGACACTGATACCAAATATCTCTATAAATATTTGGATACTCTGATACTTTTTGTTCAGTAGAATAATGAACCTTTCTGTTCTCCGTCTGCAGGATGGTCTCCTTCCTCTGAATCTCATCCTGGAGCTGCTGGACTTCAGCTTGTTTGTCTTCAAACTGGGAGGAACGAGAAGAGGACACAATATATATGTATATGTACTGCAACATGTCAACAGTAACAGAAAAACTATCAAGCCTATATCATGGTTTTATTTGTGCGTCTAATTGGAAAGTTTCTGAAGTAAGTGACTCCCTCGGTGCACAGACTGGGTGAAAAGCACTCCTGCTGTTCTGGTAGCAGCTGGCCTCCATATATAATGTGGGGGTAAAATAAAAATAATATTGAAAATGTAAATTTCTACATAAATGCATAAATGAAAATTTGAAAGGACGCCCTGGTGCACAGGAATAAGAAGCCCCAGTAATCCAGCATCTGTATGAACTGAATACTGAATCACACCTGACCAGCCTGAGAGCCTGTGCAGACGAGGCTGTGGTTGCTTTTTGGCAGTCTGGTGGACACACTGTGAGTCACTGCTAATAATCTTTAGCACAGACTGATTTACTGATTTCGTTACAAAATGCATCTACTGGTTGGACAGCGTGTAATCTAAACGGATTAAAGCATTTCTCCATAATCACTGCTGTTTTAACAGCGACGCCAAACTGGCAGCAGAGACTCATTTGAATGAAGCCACCTGTTTGTGTCCTCCACTGTTTATACAGCCCCAGAGTCATTTTGTTTCTAACTGGAAATCACAGCCCTCTTAAAAAGGATAAAAATCATTCCAGTCTCAAACCCTCTTCGACCTGTTCCTGACCCAGACAGAGAAGCTAAACTGAAAACAAACCAGTAGGTGGCTGAAACCAAATCTGTTGAAGAAAAGATACAAATACAAACCTTTTTGATTTTAGTGTTTAATTCCATTTCCAGGGTCTCCAGCTTTGTCTTCAGTGTCTCCAACTCAGCTTCCCTCTGTTCTTCCTTACTTTGACCCCGGATCTTATTAAGACAGATGACTGAACATATTATACAATCACCCATCTTTCAAAAAAGAAGCATCATGACTTTTGCTGAATAACAAGTGAGAAATCTCAGCTCTCATGTAGAAGAAATTTTGCATTTCATTGGCAAAGTTTCCTGGATAGTTTTGTTTCAAGTGAGTAACACAGTTATAAAAGTAACGCAGTTACAGCAATGTATTACTTATTGCTGTAACACAGTAATATAACTCATTACTAAAAGAGAATCAATAATATTATACCCGTTACCATCTCAGTAACGTGCGTTACAACACATTTTAACCGAAAGTAATGGGTGTTTTTTAATAATTCACCAACACTGAGAAACATTTCGGCAGCAAAAAACAAATCCATGAGTAAAAGAGCAACATTACTTCCTGTTGCTGTAATCCAGCGGTGGAGATTGTAGGCAGGGTGAGCTCGACTCCTCTTAACAAGACGTTAGCTCCCCTGATGGATCGTGCGTAAATAGATTTCTATATGTGTTTGTGCTTTAACGAATTACTTCCATGATTAGAGAGGCTGCTGTCAGTTCATCCTGATCGATCCTGTCGGAGCGTCGGGAGATTAAAATTATTAATTACGTTATGCTGCTGTACCTCGTGCATAAATGCACACAGTGTCTTTCTTAATGGGGAGACGATTCATCCTGTTCCCCCCCGACAGATATAACTGTGATCTGCACATCACTAGAATCCACCTATGCAGCACATCAAAAGTAGTGCAAAGCTTTACAATTCAGAGACAGTAATACTGTAATATAACTAATTACTCTCAAATGACAGTAACTAGTAATCTATAATGTATTACATTTTGGAAGTAACTTGCCAACACTGGTAGTAATGTGGTTTTCCCTCATTATATATTCAGATTATCTCTGCTGCTTTGTTAAAGTTGCTCATGCTGCTCAGTCTGTTTCTGCATTTGGTCTCATTCACAATCTAAATATGGACATATTACAATAATGTACTTACTTTGTGTTGTTGTGTTATCTTAATATATTCTAACCACTTACCCAGAAATACACTGCTGATTCGGCTGGTTTGAATTATCTCCAGCTGGGATGGAGGTGAAGGACACAAAGAAACACATGAGTTCACATTAAATCATGTGAGTAGTTTTACAAACTAATGGGACAGTTACACTACTTACTCACACAATTACTGCATGAGTAATAATAATGTAATATTAGTACAACAGTCACGAGACATTGAGTAATGAGTACTTTTACTTTTAATACTTGAAGTGCATTTTCCTGATTATACTTACATACTTTTACTTTAGTAACATTTTCAATGCAGGACTTTTACTCGGAACAGAGTATTTTTTACAGTGTTGTACTTTTACTTAAAATCAGAATATATCCACACATATAACTGAGTAACTTGAGTTATTTTAAAGGGAAACCTGACGTATGCAAATTGTTTAATAAACAGGAAAGTTTGCCTACTGTGTTCAAACAAGTCAGTTTGTCATCTCAGCAACACCTGACAAACAAAACTATACTAACGGTACTTTTACTTTTTAAAGCAGGTACTTTGTAGTTTGACTCAAGTAGAAATTTAAATTGAAGACTTCTACTTTTAATGGAGTAATATTTATCAAGGATAGCTCTACTTTTAGTCAAGTACGGGATTTGTGTACCAGTGAATAAAGTAAATATTGTGTACTTTATTAATTATCATTTAGTGACTGAGAAACAGCAGAAGTGATGAGTGTTGAGCCTCTGGCTGGCTGTCACTGCTCCTCCTGCTCACTGATGAAAGGGGCCATTTAGTAGTTAGGCTGACTCCTCATTCTCTCTTTGTTGCCTTCACAACACCGAACATCCACTCAACACAACAACCACCACTAACTTACAAAGAACTTAAGTTTCTGATGGTGTGTATTCTCCCTCTTTGTGTGGCTCACTGAGTCTGGGCTGTGACACAGTAAATACAGAAAGATTAAGATAAAGACATGAACCTCTTTGTTCTTGTTCTCCAGCTCTTCCTTCACAGTCTGCAGTCGTTCTCCTTCCTCTGCTTCTCTTCTTGGAGCTGCTGCAGCTCAGCTTGTTTGGTTTCAACCTGGAAGGACAGCGAGAAGTTTTAAAGAGAGGAAATGAGACAAATGTTCTTTTTACAAACATTTAAAACTTTACACTATAAATTAACATCTGTGACAAAAAAAAACAAATAAGACTTTATTTTGTACTTGACCTACATAAACTACTGTGACATAAAAATGTGACTTCATACTATAATCAATGTATTATATTATTAAACTAAAGATGAACCTCATTCCTCTTGGTCTCCAGCTCATCTTTCAGTGTCTGAACTCTTTTCTCAGCTTCTTCCCTCCTCTGCTCTCCTCCTGCAGCTGCTGCTCCTTAAACTGAGAGAGAGGAGAGACAGAAACAGGGACAACAATCCAGACATGATTTTAGCCATATTTATTTTATATATATATATATTATAAATTTGAACAGTATTGCATTTGTTTCTTACCTCTCTACCTCGTTAACTGTTGCGTTGTTTTAATCAGGTATGTGATTGGCAAAGGGCAAAAAAGCAGGAAAATATACTGAGACCCCCCCACACCCGGGATCCACCTCACCCTCAACCCCATCTTTCCCCAAATAAAACCTGTTAATCCCCAGAGTTGCGTTTGGGTCCACCCTGTCCCCACACTCCACAACACAAAGGTTGTTTTGTGTATTGATAAAATGTAGAAAAAAGTTTGACATTTCAACTCTTGCAGCGGGCAGGTGTGTGCGTGAGACGAGAACGACCGCGGCAGTTTCACGGGATTTTGCCAGTTACACAGAAACCGTTGCCATGGTTGCCGTATGAAAAGGCCTTATATAAATCCTGTCACAACCATTCACAAGAATCTTTTTTATAACGTGCCAAAACCTTTAACATAAGGAAAGTGCAAAGTGTGTAGACTACAGGAGTGATCAATCGACAACAAAGTCAAAGCAAACTTTAGACATAGCCTATAACAAGCAAACATAAGCGAGAGTGACTGTGGTACACACTGCGCAGGTGGGGAAACATCCTTGTTGATACTTTATATATTATATTTTACACGTCAGCCTATATAAATGACCTCAAATCCTTTCCATTTCACTCCGCCAGCTCCTGAACCCCCCTCTTCTTTTTCTAATTAAAGATCTGCATGATTCACATGGGTCAGATTTACAGGTCACATCCTTGTTTAATCTCCATTGACTTTGCTTTGAATGTTATGTCCTGTTTCTTTACTTACATGTTTTGTCTCCCTTTCCCCTTTTTTGTTCTTCAAACTCTTCATTGTCACTGTTTCATTTGTCATGAGCTGCTCTCTTTCTGCTTCAATGTGGAGCTGACCTTCAGGTTTGATACTTTTAAAGCGCTCCTTCTGTTCTCCTTTATCCATTTCATCCCTGTGGCTTCTCTTGCTCTCTGTGTGAAAATACAGGCAGTAGAATTAAAGTCATGTCCTTGCATCACAGCATATGAGACAATTGAGTCCAAAATCAGGTGTTAATGGGCTACAAAAATAAGACACCTGACAATTTCACTTATTGCAAATAAAAGTAGAAAAAACACCACATATTTAAAAAAAATACTGACAATTTATATCATATTAAATTTACACAATTAATCACATTACTATGTCCCATTAATCTGTAATTAATTTGCAACTCACTGATTCTGTTCTGTCTCCATTTCCACATAGAAAAGATAAGTAACAAAATTATCATGATGCAAGCAGCCAAACAAACAGCCAATCCAATTATGATGGGGGACAAACTGGACTGGACCTCAAAGAAATCATCTGAAATTATAAAACACAAAATAACATGGTGTTTATAGAACACTAGACTTCAGCTATTTGAAACTAAAACATTGATCACATCATCAATCATTTCTACCTGGAACCTGGATGTGAGTGTCTCTGTTCTGGTTGATGTCTTCTGTTGGACTCTACAGGTGAAGCTGTTGCTGTGTCTCTTCTCCACAGTCACTCTGCTGCTGACAGTATAGAGGTCATCAGGACCTCTGACTGTCTCTGTAGGTCCAGCAGAGAGGAGGTTTCCCTCACCGTCCAGCCAAAACACCTCAGGC